AACAAACGGAGACGTAACATTATTTTCTCAGTGATGGGGGGGGGGCTTTCTGTCCCCTCCTTTTTTTTAATATCTAATATTTTTACATGCTGCTAGTGAGAGAACCTGTTGTTAAAATATTTGAATCCCACCACTGAGATATAGTATAGTTGACATATTATAACATAAATTTTCGTTTGTGTCATTCATAAGTTAGGGCAATAATATGTGCTTTTTCAACAATGTACAAGAAAGGCAGAAAAAATAAGTATTGACAATTCTTAAACACGTATGCGGTACGGAACTGTAATATATTTCATGTTATTGGTATTCCGGCACAGTTCGGGCGCTGATCTTTGAAAAAGTATTGGTGACGTGCCAAGTAAAGGGAGATATTACGCTAGAAAAAAGAGGTGGAGTGTTTATGTTTGCAGAAATGAATAAAATAATTTCTAAGCAATGTATATAATGTATGGTTACATTATATATATAAAATATTGTTCATTTTATTAAGTTGATATAATTTCAGAGTGGCATACAATGTGGCAATTTTGTGACATTGAATCAAATAAACATGGACTGAGACTCGCACATTTGGCTCTTCCACTTTTGCAGTCATTCCTGTACTTATGATACATACAACTATCACAGGTGAGTTGTAAACTAACTAGAACATAATTATTGCTACTAATGAGATTCAAAGTTTCAAACATGATCTATCAATACCCGCGTTCACAAGAAAAATAGTTCATAATTTCTTGCTCTCTTTTTTTTAACGAATTTAACACGAAAATCATTTAAACTTTTGTATACTGTATATTTCACCGTACGAAATCCATTTTAATTTTTCTTTAATTTCATCTAAAATGCAATTTATGATAGGTTGACCCATTCGTTACAAATTTCCCATTGAAATAACGCTATAAAAGTATAATTAACATAGTAGAAATAATTCGTAGTCTAGCTATTTGATGAGAGGCATTGAAATATTTTAAGTTTTACCCTAACGTTATTTTTTATTTTGGCTATAAACACATTTTAAAATTTAAGTACTGGTTTCGTAGGGTGAAGCATAGTTACATTTACAGCGATTATTGTCACACTGCACAAAATTGTAAGGAACCATTTGAAATATTGGGATTAGTTCCTGTCATTTACAGTTTACTTTAGAAAGTTCACAATCGTAAACGAGCTAGTCTTATGAACATTTTTTTTCTGGTTTGAATTGAAATATGAATGCTAAAGCATGAAATAATCTGAATATATATTCAAAGATTTGTACTTGATTTTGTTTTTTTTTCTGGAGCATATAAAAACAACCAACAGAAAAACTAGAGCCTAAAGGTGCCCTGATTAATATCACTTTTTAAAAGTTTAATTTAAAAATTAAACTATTAAAGCCGTTAGGCGTTAAGGACTTAGATAAACTACCCATGGAAAATTTTGTGTAAATGGTAGATGAATAAGGTTGGTAATTAATGGGGTTTTAAACTCTTATGTTATATTAATTATTAACATAACTGTCAAATATTCTTTCCTTGGGAATACAACTTACAAGTGTTTAATGCTAATTTTGTTTTTAAAGCTTTGTTGCTAAGATCTTAGCTAGTAAATGATCAATATAATTTATAAATTTAAAACTAAGAGACACTTGGTATTAATTTTATACCACTTAATATGTTTAAATTAAAAAGACAATTTCATTTATTATCACTGAACAAGAATTTTTAAACCTTTTGATACCAATTGTAGAGATATTATTGTTCAAAAAAAAGTTTCTCTTGAGAAACTTGTGTCACATTTATGAATACCATTTCATTATCCATATTAATATATTATTATTAGGTTAACAATAAAGTGGAATTGAATTGGCTTAAAATTTATGATAGAAATCATGTAAACTGCAGATTTTATTTTTCACAATCTTAATTTGTTCATCATATATTCAGAATCAGAGGTGTACAAAAATAGCATTAAAATCTATCTTTTGTCCCACAAGTCACTGATGATTATGAGATGGCTAAGTTGCTTTTCTTCAGTTTTTACTAATGAAGATTTAACCCTCAATTAGTCGTGTGGTAAAATGAAATATATGTGGTCACATGGAGTCATTATGACCATAATGTGATATTGATATTAATATGAAGCTCAAACTCTCATATTTTTTTGTCCAAACACTTATTTGTAAGCAAAACAGAGTATTGAAAGCTTTAGATTATAGTTTACAATATTAAAATGTATTGCAGTGGTGGTAAGTCCTTTTTTAGCCATCTGGATAAAATAAAAGCCAAAGTGGCAATATGAAGATATACAAGAAGTAATTAGATATAATCTAAAATAAACAATTAAAAAGAGAAATGCCAGAAAAGAAGAGATACAGAATAAAAAGACATCTTTTAGCCATAAACTAAAAAAACCCATAAAATCAAGTAAATTAAAATTACAGGAAAAAACTGACTTTGCAAAAAATTATAACCCAAGTAGTCACTTGGGATAAATATGACCCCAATCTATAATTTTGCAAAAACCTACAACTGCAGAACACTGGTGAAGACTGCAACATGGACAGACACACAATTAAGGAAGGTGGGGCTAAGTGAAGTGCCATCTATCACATACTAATTAATTAAAGAAATTGCATGTGGTCATAATGAACCCACACAACCAATTGAGGGTTGAGCAGTAATCCTCATCCTGAACAGTTGTCAGATGGTAACATGATTGAACAAGATGATCACATCTTTTACAGAAAAAATTGTGAAGCTTAAAGAATGATAACAGTTAAGGCTTTTTGACTAGATAATATTTCCCTGGGGGTTTTAAAGGAAATTAAGGATTACATATTTTAGCCACATGCTACTATTTTTATAAGTCCGTTAACAGTGAGCAAGTTACAGATGATTAGAAGTTGACTTATGTCACTCCTCTTTTCAATGGTGGTGATAGAAATAGCCCAGGTATTTATAGGCTTATTAGTCTTACATCAGTGATGGAAAGTGTGATAAAAAATGCTTTGCAAACTAATCTAACAAAGTTTAATAAAATTCTGTTAGATAGTCAACATGGTTTCAGTTGGGGAATATCTTATCTAACTAATATTTTGACATTTTTTAAGAGTGAAGGTGGGGGGAGGAACTTTTTTCCAAAAAATGTGAACCTTTTTTTCAACCCAGAGCATTTAACATTTTAAGTGATTTGCTTGAAAGTCAAATGTTTATGAAAAAGATTCAGAAGATAATGGACCATATAGTCATTTTAGAATATTGGGGAGAGGTCATTTTACCCCCTGGTTGTGCCCCTTATTACTACTTAGGTAGATGAAGGTAAAGATGTGTATTTATTGTATCTGGATTTTCAGAAAGCACTTGTTAAGGTGCCACACTAGAGGCATGATAAAAACATTATAAGCTCTTTGGCTCAGTGTTAGGACATCTCTTTGTTTTATATCAGTGATATAGATGAAGAAATGACAATAAATTGCTTAAATTTGCTCATGATATTAAGGTCTTTGGTATTTTTGGCTGTGAAGATGATGCTACTGGCTTAATAAATGATTTGTTGAGTTGGGTGAATGAATGACAGATGTTTTTTAATTGTAATAAATGTAAAGTAGTGCATTAAGGTAATCATAATTTAAGTTATAATTTTGATTGGAATAATCTTAACATTATTATAGAAGAAAAATATTGTGGTGTTTTTTTGTATATCAGTGTCTTAAACCATCCAAGCAGTGTGTGCTGTTACTGTTGATGGGAAAAAAAAAGAATTGTAGGTTATATTTTCAGGAATATTGAATATAAATCTAAAGAGGTTATAATTTCATTGTGTTGGTCAAAAATTATTTTTACTTGAAGAAAAGAGATCTTAGATGTGATATGATTTATGTGTTTAAGATTGTTATGAGAAGTGATAGTGTCAATGTGTCATCTTTTTGTTTATATTTAATGGTGATGATGGTTGACCTTTAGGAAGAGTTACATTCAGATGTGGTGGATGTAGCAGATTTAAAGGAGTTTAAGGGTAGGCATGTTAAATATTTAAATAATAAAGGCTGTCTTTAAGGGTTGTTTTATTATTTTTCATTATTATTACTTTTTTAGAGTTTAGTTTTGTAGATCAACAACCTTGTTGGACCAACAGGCCCCTTATTCTTAAAAGTTAAATGTCATGTCATATTGTTTAGACAAAATAGCACCATAAAAAAGTTGGGAGACTTTATTGTATTGATACTCTGGATAATCTTGTAAAAGATCACCTTTTACCCTTCTTTTCTCAAGAGAAAATAAGTTCACTTATCCATATAAGGTAAACCTTACATCTCTGGAAACATCCTAATATCCCTGCTGTGAACCCTTTCCAATAAGTCAGTATCTTTTCTTAGATAAAAAGATCAAATTATATACAATGTTCCAAGTGAGGCCTATAAATATTGGTTTGTAAAGACAGATTCTTAGTTCTTTTGACTCTTAATCAGTATGTTTATGTACACTGTAAATTCTGATACGATGCATTGTTCTCTCACACAATAGCTTTTATCGATCTTCCATTGGCCTCTAATATATTGAAAAGAAATTTTCTCGCTTTATGTGCTAGCCTTTATACCCCACAAGTTCGAGCTGCTTATTTAACATGTATAGAACATGCAACAACCCTCTACCAATAGAAGTACAACAGCTGGCTCCCTCTGTACTACTTTACATGAACCTCACCTTTTTGATTGGCACCATATGAGTCAGAGGTGTTTCTCACGTGCTTTACATTTTCGATTTTTTTTTTCTGAACTCTTATACTTTCTTCATATTTGTTTTTTAAAAATAAGTTTGCTTTGCAATTTCTTACATTTTTGTGTGTTACTGACTTTACTTACCATTTTCACACAATTTTATGTGAATTATGAACTTGTGATATACCCTGATTATCACCATGGCTCCTGCTGTTACTCGTGATACACTAACTCCTATTATTCAGGCCTCGTGATCAATGTCTGCCAAGGAGGTGCAAGGCTTGGTTTGTCAGGAGTTGGCTTCTTATATGGGGTTTTCTTCTCCAAGATGGCTGGTGCCTCTGCTGTCTGATGAGATTGTTCAGGACAAGGATGATTTAGACAGCCTTTTTCCTGCTAATCATTTGCCATGCTGCCATGTCCTGCACCTTTGGAGGATGTTTGTTCTTCTTCTCCTTTCCTTCAATTAATTACCAAGTTTGTCATGTTTTGAATGTTTTTCCTGTTTCTTATGATACCTCTCCTTCCCTTTTGTGTGAGATCTCTAACATGGATTATCTGGTGTTCCCCCTTCACCTGAGATTGAGGTTCATGCACAGCAGTTTTTATCACAGTTAAGTTTGGGAGTTAGTATGCCTTGATCCACTTAAGTTTCTGACCAACGTGCTTTAGTATTTCATCACTCATCAAATCCTTATTTGGATTCTCAAGAATTAGATCTGCTGTTACTCCTTTGGGGTTCTAATCCTGAGACTTCTGTCTCATTTTCACAGGTACAGTTTTTGAGGATTCGTCTTATATTTACTTACATTTTTATGTTACCTCTCCTCTTTGCACCTTTTGTCATTTTCCAATGATTTTTCAGAAGACCTCAGATCCCTTCTGTGGTTGAATTTGGTGAGTTTCTCTTCATTAGCCTGTTTCCAAC